CATGGAGGGTTCCTCACACACTGGGGTACTGGCGGGGGGGTCATGGAGGGTTCCTGGCGGGGTTACCTGGCGCGGGGTCACACAGTACTGGGGTCATGGAGGGTTCCTGGCGGGGTCACACAGTACTCGGGTCAAAGCTCATAACTGAGGAAACATGCATAAGTTTCGCAAATGCTGGACGAGTCGTGTCCCTGCATGATCTTCCCTGTGAGGGGAAGATGAAGGAGGCAGCATTATATCACGCTGACACGGAGGCGAGAGGCGGGGCCCAGGAGAGCGAGCTACACAATGCCTTCACTCCATTTCCTACCAGCGACAATAGCCCGCTAATGAGTGCCTTCACTTGGCAGAGAGGAACCCTAAAACGCATGAGTGGATGTGGCCATTGTTCACCGCCGCCAAGTACTCCTTAAAGAATAAAAGATAACTATTGTCATAGACTGTGCGATATATTGCTCGTTTACTCTAACTGTGCAAGGGTTTAATGATAGCGAAGCGTCTAATTTTGTTGAGCGTCATCGAGAATATCAGAGTATAGCATTAATTGCACTTGTGAAGCACTTTCAGGCTTTGCATGCGTAACATCACGAATTTCTGCTGAGATTGGAGAGAAAGTGATTGGATTTGATGGTGACAATTCTTGTGCGTTTCGATAGTGACAGTGCGTGTGTGTGATTTGATAGTGACGATACTTGTATGTTTTCAAAGTGACTGTGTGAGTGCTGTAGAGGTGCTTAATATTCTTATTTCTCGAGCGTACAAGGACAGTCTCCACATTATAAGCCGGATAAAGTCCACCGCTAAATGCTACAAGTGAGTACACGTTTCCTTATAAGGGTGGTAGCGATGAATGCTTAAGGGACTGTACAAAGCAAACGTGATAAGAGACAGAATAATATTATGCAGAAATTTGTAGAAGTGTTGGAACGGAATATAAACGGCTTTTAAGTATTTAATTTGTTATTTTTCTCCTAAACAAATGTAGTTTCAAGACCCAAAGGCCGTGTAGCCAGGCTTCCTCAGCGGGTATCTTCGGCACAAGCGATGGTCAGGCGTCTTCAGCGCTTAATCGGTATATAATTGTAGCGTCCTTCCTTCAATGGAGCATACTTAGTATATTTGATACAATGTTGTCTAATAGTTTGCAATTCAGATGTCCTGAATGTTGCGTCAGGAAGATTAGCTTAATGGCAGATCTATAAACATGAAGAACGTCAATTAACCGTATATGTAGATTCTCTCTCTCTCTCTCTCTCTCTCTCTCTCTCTCTCTCTCTCTCTCTCTCTCTCTCTCTCTCTCTCTCTCTCTCTCTCTCTCTCTCTCTCTCTCTCTCTCTCTCTCTCTCCCTCCCTCCCTCCCTCCTTCTTTCCCTCTTTCCCCCCACTATCACTTCCTCCCTCCCCCACTATCACTCTTCCCCCTCCCCCACACTCTCTTCCCCATCCCCATCTCTCTCTTCCCCCTCCCGTCCCCCCCCCCTCTTACTCTCACACCGATACTAATCCCCCCCCCCCACACACACATTGGGGGAAGTCTGATAGCTGAGTGGACAGCGCGCAGGACTCTTAATTCTGTGGCCCGGGTTCGATTCCCGGACCAGGCAGAAACAAATGGGCAAAGTTTCTTTCACCCTGAATGCCCCTTTTACCTAGCAATAAATAGGTACCTGGGAGTTAGACAACTGTTACGGAGCTGCTTCCTGGGGATATATATATATGTGTGTGTGTGTCTGTGTGTATGTGTGTGTGTGTCTGTGTGTGTGTGTGTGTGTGTCTGTGTGTGTGTGTGTGTCTGTGTGTGTGTGTGTGTGTGTGTGTGTGTGTGTGTGTGTGTGTGTGTGTGTGTGTGTGTGTGTGTGTGTGTGTGTGTGTGTGTGTGTGTGGAAAAAGGGAAAAAAATAGTAGTTAGTAACAGTTGATTGGCAGTTGAGAGGCGGGCAGAAAGAGCAGAGCTCAACCCCCGCAAGCACAACTAGGTGAATAAACACACACTGTTCTCGACTCAAAAATCGGCGATTCCGAGTTCGATTCCGTGGCAAGACAGAAATGATTGGGTACGTTTCCTTTCACCTAATGCCGCTGTTCACCTAACAGTAAATAGGCACCCAGAATTTTGGCAACTATTGTAGGGTTGCATCCAGTATGGACCTAAGGCGGAAGACGGGACACCACGAGCGAGGCTCTCATCCTGTAACTACACTTAGGTAATCACACACACACACACACACACACACACACACACACACACACACACACACACACACACACAAGATCCCATCCAGACCTCATCCCCTCACCCCAAGAACCCACCCAGACCTCATCCCCTCAACACCCAAAGCCTACCCTGCCCTCACCCCTCCTCATCCCCTCTCCTTCCATGTGACCCCCCACCCTTGCGAGGGAGGTGGGAGGTCCCCCCCACCCCCTCTATCCATCCCCCTCCCAACCTCTCAACCTCTATCTGTCTCCCAACCTTACGCCATCTCCCAACCCCTCTATGCCCTCCCTAATCTTCAGACCCAGTATGCCCTTCCTACTCCAGACCTACCTACCCAGGCCCTACCCCAGACCCTCCTACCTACCTTCCTAGAAGCCCAGCCCCCAGTAGCCCCCCAAGCTCCCCTCCTGAACTCTTTCACCCCCCATACACCCCCCGGACCCCCCCAGACACCCCCTGGATCCCCCCGGACATCCCCCGGACCCTCCCCGCCCCCAGTCATCCCCCAGACACCCCCCAGATCCCCCAGATCCCCTCTGCCCCCAGTCACCCCCCAGACATCCCCCAGATCCCCCCAGACCCCCAGAGAAAGGGAGAACTCTGGTACAAGAGTTTCCATGAAGAATCTCAAGGTTTGGTACACCAATGCTGATGGGGTATCTAATAAAGCAGAAGAGATAAAAGAAAGAGTGAGTGAAGCAGATCCTGACATAGTTGCAATTGTGGAAACTAAAATTAATGACATGATCTCAGATGCTATCTTTCCTGAAGGGTACCAGGTGATACGAAAAGAGAGGACACAGAGACAGGGAGGGGGAGTAGCACTCCTAATAAAGCGGAAATGGAAGTTTGAAGACCTGGGAAATCGAGTTACCAATGAGTGCACAAGCTTCATACATGGAACTCTGACAGTAGATGGGAGGAAGATTGTGATCATGGTAATCTACAATCCCC